GCCTGCACGCCATCGAGATCCACAGCGCCGTGCTCGCTGCCTCGACCAAGCCTGTCAAGTATGTCGCGTGCTGTACTGTGTGTCGTGTGTCGTCGTGTCGTGTCGTGTGCGGTGTGTCGTGTGTGTGGGTGTGTCGTGTGTGTGTGCGGGGTGGCTCAAAGAATGTGTGATTGCAGTCTTGCATTCCAGGAAGAGTCGAGGCGCGTGCTGGCCGACTGCTCGCTCCTGCCCCAGACCACGCAGCTCCTGCCCAGCACCCTCCGCGCGCTGCAGCGCGACGCGCACGTCCAGGCCGTCGCCTCGTCGGCCTCGGCCGCCAGCGCCAGCGCCGTCGCCGTGGCCGAGCTTCTGGTCCACCCGCGCGTGCTGCCCCGCGTGCGCCTCGCCCCACCGCCCCTGCCCACCCCCGCCGCCGCCCTCGCCGCCGCCCCCCTCACCGCCCCCCTCGCCCCCGCGCCCGCCCCGGTGTCGTGGGACGTCGTCGTCGACTCGCCACCGACGCCGCCCAAGCGCAAGGCCGCGCAGGGCGGCTACGACCACATCGAAGCCGACGTCATGATCGTTGAGCACCACCACCACGCGCAGCCTCAGCTCAAGGCGACGTCGACGGCCCCGAGCGTCGGCGTGACGGCGCCGTCGCCCAAGCGAGCGCGTACGGAGCTGCCCGCGGCGGCGGTGGAGGCGACCACCACGTCAGCATCGTCGAGCTCGAGTTCGATGGCGGCGTCGACGCTGCCGGCGCTGGAGCCCGAGCGAAGCAACGTTGTGGCGTCGGCCGTGAGCGTGTTTGCGGCCGCGCCGGTGGTGACTACGCAGACGACTGCGACGACCACATTGGCGACGTTCACGACGGTTGGCCATGGCGAGGCGGACGAAACGGAGGAGATGGCCGACATCATCGCCGATGGCCCGGACAGCAGCGACGAAGAAGAAGTCGATGAAGAAGAGGAGGAAGAGGAAGAAGAGAACTGAGAAAGCCAACCTTAATGAAAACAATAAATAAATACTAATTTGTTGAGTTAGTTTTCAAAGTTTAACAAAGGCTTCGAGATCGCCCGTGAGATCAGAACAGGATCAGCCCCATTAGGTTCGCCTGTGAAGCACGCCCTTGACTTGGACCCAAAAAATCACTTTTATTGGGCCTGGGAGGACCGAAAGGGGGCCGGCGGTGGGGGCCTGGAGCCGGACGGCCTGATTGAGGAGGCCGTAGGGAGAGCTGGCGTAGTGATGGTGGTGATGGTGGTGGTGATGCTGGGCGAGATGATGCTCTCCGCCCACCTCACAACAGGGGG